ACTCCGTCAAAAATGAAACTGACTGTACAAACCAACTGCGAGCAGAAGGACAGTGGTACCTGATGGTTATGCAGTACGCGCATACACCAGTTTAGGGGGAGGGGGAATATACGGGGTCTTATTTGGGCAGGGGGACAATACTCTGAAATTTCACATTTCCAGCTTTCGTGGTCCCCAAGATAATTCTCCTCGCCAAAACCTTCACAGGGTCGTACCCAGACCAGTGGGAGAGCTGAATTCAAAGTTGTGGAGTTGTATTTCGGCAGCGGAAATTACCGTAACATTTTAACTCCCTGGCTTTTGTGTTCCGTGAGATAATAATTTCCCTGCCAGGACTTCCACGGAGTCGTACGCGGTACCCAAGGGCAGGGGAAAGCTGAATTTAAATTTGCGAGTGGTTGTATGTAGACAGGGGACATTGCCGTAAAATTTCACTCTTCTAGTTTTCGTTGTTCCCGAGATAACTTTTTCCGCCAAGACTTTCGCAGGGTCATAAGCAGTACCCAAGCGCGGGAAGGCTAAAATTAAGGCTGCCTGGCCGCACGTGAGCAAGGGTTATTTTAACTTCCCAGTTTTTGCAGTTGCCGAGTTGAAAGTTGCGGACAAGATGCATCGGACACACATACGCATACACAAACAGACAACCCCGTGACAGTATGCGTTTTGTGCAGCTGCTGCACAGCACAAAGCGCATTTTAAAAAAACCCAATTCTAAGGCCGGTCAGGAACGTGTATACCTGATACTGATCGTACAGTGGCGCACTGAGTGAAGATCTTAGTGTGTTCAGAGTAGCTTCCATCCAAGCAATCAAGGCATGATCGTCGATTAACGCACCAATCTCGATCGGTCGCAACACCGTTGGCGTACGGATGAACTGGGAGACGTATGTGATCACGGACCGTTTGTCCGGTTTATCACGTAGCATATCTTCCTCATCCAGCAGTGGTCGTATATGCAAGTGCATTTTCGCCAATCGAAATGCCTGTAAAAAAGTAACCTGAAGCACCAGAGTAACTCGGTGTTATCACATGCCCATTGGGATTAGCTGTTGTAGATGCAAAAGGCTTTGTAATGCATTATCATGACTTTTCGGTCTAAAAAAGTGTATTTTTTTGAGCTATAGGAATTTCAAATAAGCGGCTGGTTGCTTCCTGCATTGCAACAATTCCTGTATCAATTTGAATCGTGCCCCAAAGCACAGTCACTTTAAAACGCTGATCTTAAACACCTACAACAACCCCCCTTACAGAACCTGTTCCAAGTTGTCTCGTGGAGAACTCCGGCGTGTTTTGTTCATATCAATCAAGTCGGGCATGACGCGATGTATTAGGGCATTGAAAGCAACCCCGTCTTGCCAGCTTCTATCCATATCCGTCACTTTGATATTGTAAGGCCTGAAAGATAGAATTGCATGTATTATTAAACCAGGGAGTACAACATCTGAGGTTCAAATCTGTCTCGAGAAGTTTACTAAAACTCAATAAATAACGGAACACACCAGGGGAACTGGTGTGATCAAACGCCTCCTGCAATTCTGACAAAAAGACATTTGCTGTTAAAAATGCTCACTGTTTTACTGCTTGACATATG